CCATTTTCTAAATGATGCACTAGAGACCTGGCTGACTCAGCAAGGGGTTGACTGTTACAAGCCACATAGGCTGAGCCAAGACAGAGTACTTACTCAGTACTCACTCACTGTTCATTTCTGGACTTAGACTGAGCTAGAAGGTACCAGCAGGAGGGTAAGGTAGACATTAGGAATGGTGTGGTCCATGAGAAAGTGAAAAGTGCTAGCTGGTGGCAGATCAACCCCTCTTTTGTACTCATTTCAGATTGTGCTTTTTTCTCTTTTTGTGTGTCATGGGACTTGAACTCAGGGCTTGAGTGTTGTCCCTGAGCTCTTTTGCTCAAGGCTAGCAGTACTCTTACCACTTTGAGGCACAGCAAGCACTACTTCCTCCTGAGTAGCTAGGATTACAGGCATGAACCACCAGCATCTGGCATTTTTTTGTTTTTTGTTTTCTTCTTCTTTTGGTGTTAGTCCTGGAGCTTGAACTCAGGGCCTAGCCACTGTCCTTGAGCTTTTGTGCTCTAGGCTAGTGCTCTAGCACTTGAGCCATAGCTCCACTTCTGGCTTTCTTGGAAGTTCAGTGGAGAGAAGAGTCTCAATCTGGGTACCAGTGGCTCATGCCTATAAAACTAACTGTTCAGGAGGCTGAGATCTGAGGATTGATGTTTGAGCCAGACTGGGCAGAAAAGTCCCTGTAAAACTCTTACCTCCAATTAAGCTCTCAAAAATGGAAGTGTGGCTGTGTCTCAAAGTAGTAGAGTGTTATCTTTGAGCAAAAGAGCCCAGAGACAGTGTCCTGGCCCTGAGTTCAAGCCCCATAACTGACACAGAAAGAGAGATGGAGACTGACTTTATAAGACTTCCATACCCATATTGGCTTTGAGCCATGATCCTCAGGTCTCAGCCTTATAACTAGCTAGAATTACAGGGTATGAGCCACCAGTACTTGGCAGACTGTGTCCTTTAAAAAAATTAAAAAAATTTTTTTTGCCATTATTGAGACATGAACTCAGTGCCCAATGCTCTTGCGTAGCTGTTTTGCTCAAGGCTAGTATTCTACCACTGAGTTACTCTTCTACTTCCAGCTTTTTGGAGACAAGAATTTCGTGGATTTGTCTGCCCAGAGCTGATTCTGACCCACAATCCTCAGATCTTCTAAATAGTTAGGATTACAGGCATGAGCCACCTGCACCTGGCAGATCGTTCCCTTTTTCAGCAGCTTATAAAGGCCCACAGGCCTCTTGTCCCTCTCATAGCAGCTTGTGAAGGCATTTTACTCCATGGATTTTGTCCTCTGCCTCATGTATTTCTCTTCTGCCATGCTCTTTATATTTTAAGCCATTGGAGGCCTACCTAAATGCGATCACCATACGAAAGCCCTCCCTGATCTATGCTCTTCTCCCCACAAGCACTCAGGGCTTTGCACTAGTGGCTTTTGGCTTTGGCCCATCTGTAAATGTCTCTCTGCAGGCTCTTAGCTCTTCAGAGATAAGAAGTAGACTTCATGGTGTGCCTGTTGAGTGCCCGCAGAGGTAGGCTGGAGGTAAACAGCTCATGTATTGGAGCTGGGCATTAAGGACTGCCAATAACCATCATGCTACTGCCATTCATTGGCAGGTGGGAATTGGAGCCCTGTTGCTTAATCTGACAGGTTCTCAATTTCTTTATAAAAATGTCCTTTTTAAGAGTGCTAGCCTTGAGCTGAAGAGCTCAGGGACAGCGCCCAGGCCCAGAGTTCAGGCCCCACAACTGATAAAAACAAAAACAAAAAATGTCCTTTTTGTACTGCCAGTCATTCATGTAAGAAAAATGGTAACACCATGCAGATTTGATAAAATCCTTTTTAAAGGCTAGTCTTGAGTCTTGACGTGATGGAAGTTCTCTCAAGGCTAAGCTGGTGCCTCAAAGGTAGATAGCACTATGGTAAGAGTTGAGACTCAGTCACCAGGTCTTGGTCTCTTGCTCTGATACAGTGTTTATAATCATGTGATCAAGACACAGGGCTTTTCCAACTGAGCCTTAGTTTTCACAACTATAAACAAGGATGATGATCCCATTGATGTGAGCTTTTAAAGGGTGGTCTCCGGTCCAGTGACATCATCTTAGGAAAACTTGGTAAGAAAAGTAAACCCCAAGCTAGCTAGATTAATGCAACCCTGTGGTGGGGCTGGGGCAACAATCCAGTCCTCAGCGCGCACAGGCTTCTGAGAGCCAGTAACATGGAAGAAAGGCAGACCATGTGCTCTGCTGTGAGGAGGAGAGCATAAGACTCTTCACCCTGGAGATGTAGGAAGAGGAAGCCTCTGAAATCAGACCTGAAGGCCAGGCAGTTTGTTAGGTATGAGTGGCCAGGTGGCCTATCGTGAGGATAAAGTTTGAAGTTAGGCGCCCAGAGATAAGACCTTATAGGAATGTTCTACCTAGGAGACTGGACTAATTTGAAGTGATCTCAGAGCTTCTAGTGAAGGAGGGAGTGGAGCCAGGGCTGGTAGTGCCTTCAGAGCTGCTCTCGTGTGTAGGACAAATGGCAGATGATGTGTTGAGCACTCCACTGGGTCAGTAACTGGGGATAGAGCGGTGGTTAAAAAAAAAATCTGATATTCATGGAACTGACATTCTCAGGGGGGAAGCAGAAGACGTCTAAGTAAAAATGTGTGCAGTATGTCAGATGCCGAGAAAAGGGCAGAGTGCAGGGAAGTGGTGGGGGCGTGAGGAATGTTCTGGTGTCAGAGGGCTCATGGGAGGTCTTCCTGGGGAGGTGATGGGGGCAGTGAACAGATTCAGGGGGTCAGGTCTGTGGAGTTTTAGGAAAAGAGCAAGCCCCTGGGAGGCCAGCAGGGGGAGGTTTACATGTTGTTGGGGAGGAATGTGGGTGTGGAAAAGCGCAGTTTGGGTGCCTTGATGAAAAGGTGGAAGGGGCATAGAGTGCTGACTCTTCTCTACCTGCCCAGGGCAAACAGAGAACCGTGGGCGGCTACAGGGGGTGGCAGAGCTGCGCCTGGCAGGCCTGGAGCTGACTGATGCCTCCCTGCGGCTCCTGCTGCGCCATGCTCCCCAGCTGAGTGCCCTGGACCTTAGCCACTGCGCCCATGTCGGGGACCCCAGTGTCCACCTCCTCACAGCTCCCACATCCCCACTCCGAGAGACCTTGGTGCACCTCAATCTTGCTGGTAAGCACTATTCCCTGCCCCTCTGGCTCTTATGACTCGACTCTCACCTCCTCATCTACCTGGTCTCAATGCACTATCCCCTCCCCAGGTTGCCACCGCCTCACGGATCACTGCCTCCCATTGTTCCGTCGCTGCCCACGTCTACGCCGCCTTGACCTGCGCTCCTGCCGCCAGCTCTCACCTGAAGCTTGTGCTCGTCTGGCAGCTGCCGGGCCCCCAGGCCCCTTCCGCTGTCCAGAGGAGAAGCTGCTTCTCAAAGACAGCTAGTTGGGTGCCCCCCACCCTCCCTCCCCCAGGACTCACCAGGAGACTGAACCTTAGCCTTCATTTCACCCCCTGCTGGGAGGCCAGGTTTACCCCCCCACCCCCCCAACCCCCCTTAGTACTTGGGATTCCTGAGTTTTATGACTTGAGATTCCTGCCCAGGGACTCCAGCCAGCTTCCCCCTTCTCTTCCCCTGTGTTGATATCTCTAGGGGTCTCTCCTCCTCATCTCCACCCTCTTCCACCTGCTTCATTGTCTATCCCTTGGGGGGAGTGGGTCAGAGGAACTGGGGGGTGCTGAGCCAAAGGGATGGTGGGAGGGGGGGTTAGGTGCAAGTCTAAGCGGGGGAGAATGGGAAAGGGTATCTGCATACAGATTCTGGGAGCCAGGGGGCTGGGGGAGGTGGAGGATGGGTGGGGGGGAGGGCAGAAAGCAGACCACCAAGGGTGCGCAGGGAATGAAGACCAGATAATTGGAGTTGGGGGGTGGGATGGAGCAAAAAAGGGAAACCAGAGGAGCGACTAGGATTCAGGTGTCAGAGGTAGGGGGCTCCAGGAGCCTGGCAATACAGGGCTGAGTGGGGTGGGAAATGACAAGAACAGGTATGCGGGCAATAGTATCCCCTCTGGGAGGTCACCCCTCTCCTTTCCCCCTGCCCAGATTTCATTTCCTTCCCCCGACCCTGACTCCTTGAACGTCACTGAAAATGGCAGCTATTGCGAGGAGTGGGGGCCACGGGTGTATTTGCTGTTAAGCTCGTGGCCCAGGGGAGTGGTGAGGGGTACCCCAGCCCCTTGCCTGCTTCTCCGCACAATACTTGAACATTCATCTGTACTGAAGTGTTACTTGAACCGGGGGAACCTCGGACCTGGGGGAGCCAGAGTGTGATGGGCCTGGACCAGCTTGGCTCTTCCCACTCTTTCATCGTCATGGAAACTTGTATCCCATTTGCCCAGGGAACTGCCACTCCTGATTGCCATGGAAATAGCAGCCAATGGACACCTCCTGATGCCAGTGCTAAGGCTGGAAATGGCCCCTCTCAGTTGCCATGGGAACTTAGTAACAGACTCTTGGCCCTCTACCCCAGCCCCTCCTTCCAGCACGGGGGGCGGGGCCTCGGGAACCAGAGGGAGGAGTTGGGGCCAGGTCCTGCCCCCAGCCCCGGCCTCCGGGGAAGCCGGGTTGTACCATGTAGGGGAGGGGGGAATCTATCCACATACCTCAGGTAACAGGGAGGTGCGGGGTGGGGGGAGGGACAGGGTGGACCAAAGGCCGGAGGGGAGGGGTCCTGGGGATGGCGAGAGGCCTGAGGATGGGGCCGCTTGGGGGAGGGGGAGGAGGCCGCCCGGCGAGGGGCAGGTGAGGGACCAAGCCGGGCTGGGCCCCGGGTCTATACAATACGGTTTGCTATAAAACTCAAAATCTTCCAGCCGGGGCAAAGAGTTCCTGCGTTTGTTTCTGTGCAGCGTGGTGGGCGTGTGGCGCTCCTCCGTCTCTTCCCGTGGGTCTTTCTGGATGGATCTGGGCGGTTCCTAAAGGGAGGAAGGGTTCTTCTCTCCCGAGTTCACTGTTGTTGGGAAGAACATGGAAGACTGGACACCTGGAGATGGCCAGGTGTGCTCTGGCGTGACCCCTCACGCCCTGACCTAGGCGGGGCTGGAGCGGTGGCCTCGGCTCGGGCGCCTGCCTACTTGGGAGCACGGGGGTCGCCAGGTCCGGGACTGGGGGGGCCCGTCCCGGCTCCACCCCATCATGTGGCCGCCCAGCTCCGCCTCTGCCCCAGTTCCTGTTTCGGCCTCCGCTAGCCCGGCTCGGCCCTCAGTCCCTGCGCCTCCCCCGCCGGGCCAGGGCCG